TGTTGCCCACCACTGCCTGACCTCTGTGGCTTGCGGGTAGCTTTGTATTCTGAACCCTTAGGCAAGCATTATTAAATCATAAATGATATATCACCACAAACCTCATTATATATACATATTCTCGGTTGTTCAGGATAGCTTATATCTCACTGTGTATCCCAAGATAACCTTAAATTATACTTTTTGAGCATTTATTTCCAATTCTCCATCGATGATATCTTTCTGGTTGCATTATTTTAAAAACCAATTAGTACTGGACACATCTGGTGTGGCATTCCTGCCATGAAGTTATAATAACACTCAATATAGGCTTCTCTTTGTAAAAATAAAAAGGAGTGCATTACTGGTGAGACTTACAGAAATATGACACATTTGAATGTGCTCACTTGTGAAACCTTATTAATACTCTTTCCTTAAAAAAAAGACTCATAGCTGAAGGTATAGCCAGTAACTGAGAGGGTGCATAGCATATGCAAAATCTTGGGTTCAGTTCTCTTCCCTGCAGGGTTGAAAGGGCTCACAGAGTGCTGGCATGAGAGTAAACTGGTTCATGTTTCAAGGGGAACTTTCAGAACAGATATTAATAATTGAAACAATGCTATTATAGTTGTATTTAGCAAGTCATGGATATGAGTTACACCAAAAACAAACAAGCTGGATAAGCCCAGATAATTGTTTGTCACGATATTATATATAGTAGCAACATATTAAGAGCAAACTAAACAGGTCTAGCAAGAGATAATTTAAATCACTGTTACAGCCTTGCAAAGCAGTGAAAACAAAAGCCATGTTGCTAAATTATATTACTGTTATAGTCACTCCAGATCTTCAATGCAGATTCCAAAATAACGTGTCCAACATGGTTACACCAACTTAAAGAGATATGTTTAAGTAGGAAGTTTGTGGATTATTTCTGTATTTGGGTTTTTTTTTTTTTTTTTTTTTTTTTTTTTTTCAATTTTTAAAAAATGTTTTCCTTTTTTTTTTTCTTCAATAGATAGATGGATGGATGATAGAGATAGATAGGTAGGTAGGTAGGTAGGTAGATAGATAGATAGATAGATAGATAGATAGATAGATAGATAGATAGATGATAACATTTAGTCATAATAACTGTACTAAATATATAAAAAGATCATTTGGGTTTGTTTAGAAATATTATTTTGTTTGCTGTTAAGTCACTTCCTCAGAGAAATCCACAAAGCTGGCCCTGTTTTGTAGCATTGATGACTATACCTAACCTGCTTGGGTTAAAGCTTATACTGTATATTCTATCAAGAATGCTACACATACTGAACTAATCATTGTAACCCAATCTATCTATGAGGTCATAATTTCAAATTTCACACTGTCTTCTAGGGTAGTTCTCTTTCACTTCACAGATTTAACTCTCATATTTATCCTTCTTCTCTTTCAGGTAAATAACTATAGTTTAGAAGAAGTCACACATGAAGAGGCTGTAGCGATATTGAAGAACACATCCGATGTTGTTTATCTAAAAGTTGGCAAACCCACCACCATTTATATGACTGATCCTTATGGCCCACCTGACATTACTCACTGTAAGTATGGTGCTCCAGTGTCATCTTCTAATAGCCTTCCAGTTATACAAAATAGACCTCCACAAAGCCATTTTCACCTCTGCTTACAGTTTCAATCATGTCAAGCTTCTTGAAACACTTCAGGGAAAATATTCTGTGCCTCATTCCCATGTTGTTTTACAGGACCTCAGCTAATGTTTTAAAGGTAGGACATCTTGATGGATTGCACATTTACCAATGGAAGGGCAGAGTGACTACAATAGCTTTGGTGCCACACTCCAGAAGATAATTTCTCAGTCCCATGGCACATGAATTCTATCATGCCAGTATATTCCCTTGTCCTAGTTCAGATCTATGTAGCAGCAAAATGAAAGACAAATGCTGGCAAAATAAGCCATAGATAGCTGTACACTGCCTCCTAGGGGAGGGGCTCGGCTTCTGGAATGATGAAATCACCAGAAATTTTCAATTATCATTATTACTTTTATCTTCAGCTGAATTTGTTATGCTCTATAGAATGAAGAAACTAATCAGTCATTGTCAGTAGCAGTGAGTCAGAGGGCAATAACTAACATGAGTCACCATTCTGGGGACCACACCAAATCCATTGCTAACTAGAACTCACTCCCTCTCTTCGGTCTTCTAGGACTAAATTTAGAATTTACTTTTGATGTAAACCTAATGGGTATTTTTATCGGTGTAAGTTAGCTTGTTGGATTGGAAACGTTGCGAGTTCCATTGTGAGTGTGTACCCAGGATACCTTCAGGACTGACTGTTAATTAGTACTATCGCCTTAAGAAAGTATTGAATCTTTCTTAGATTTATTTAGATGTTCCTCTTGAGCAAAATTCAAGAGCTAAATAACCTTAGCTCCAAAGGCCCATTACCTTAGCTATTACTTTTTGAAGTAATGGTTCTTAAATGCCTCACCCTCCAAATTGTCTTTTTTTCAAAGAAGGCCCTAAGCTGAGATAAGCCTGACCTTAGGGCAGAAAGAGTTTTGACTTTCAGAGACTTGATCTGAATAAATTTAGAGAGGAGTCAGGTAGGTTTGAGGGTCTATGACTCACTTCGTAAAGAGCATACAAATACAATGGCAGAGATTTTTTTTTTTGAGGCAGAACACAAAAGTGTCTAATTGATTAAAGTAATTTAGCATGTGCTGCATAACTTGTAAGATGTGTGATACCCATCTTACTTTAGAAGAAATGTAACTGTGGCCTTCAGCCACATGGAAGGTAAGCAAACACAGATGTATTATTAGCAACATAATTTGGTGGAAATAAGAGGCAATATATGCAGTCAGATAAATGAAATATCCTTGAGTGACTAAGAGAAGGGAGATTTCTGATCTGATCTTCCTTTAACAGCATTGAGAGATTTCATGTATAGCTGCCTTTGGAATTATACATCTGAGATGGGGTAAAAGACACAAATTATAGATACTTCATACAGTAAAACAGTGGTACGGATGCCAGAAACACGGGTTTTGTTGGAGGATTAACAGCATGTGTAAGGAGGCTTGAAATGGGTCATTTTTATCAATTTGATAAAGAAGAGAATGTGACAGTACAGAACATGTAAGCAAGAGAACAAAGAAAAGATTTTAAGAGTTCACCTCAGAGTATGAAACAGTTTTGAGGAAAGAACAGAAAGAAGGGAGCCCCTGTCAAGAGGTGTCAATGAGAAGATGGGTTATGGAAGAACAGAAGAAAAGTGCTTGACACTGTAGACTTCCTGGGATGGAAGTATAGCATATTTGTGGAGAAGGTTTAGTAGGAGAATGTATTACTTGGGAGCCTTTTGCTTTTCATAATTGGGTATTAATTATGTAAGATGAATGTGAGCCCTACAATTAGAAGCTAACATTTTCATTTCCATAGAAAATTAATCATCGTTCTGAAAATGTGTGTCGATTCTCTCCTCCAATTCTTCTCATCACTTAATTATACTAACTTGGGCTACAAATATAACTGTTATTACATCTTTCCAGATCTAAAGGTCGCCATGTGCTTATATGGGAAATGCTAACAGCCAGCAACTCACACCTCTTGGAGAAAAATTTTGGCATGTAGAAAAGCTTTTGTATTTTTAACACATCTCTAAGGTATAACACATTGAATCACCCACATAAAAGGTTTGATTCCATTTTTTTTCTCTCCCCAATTCCTTAGCTTATTCTCCACCTATGGAAAATCATCTTTTGTCTGGTAACAATGGCACGTTAGAATACAAAACTTCCCTGCCGCCCATCTCTCCAGGAAGGTACTCACCAATTCCAAAGCACATGCTGGTTGAAGATGACTACACAAGGTCAGATATGCTTCTAGTTTAATTGAATTGGTTATTGGTTCTAGAAAGAAGTTCCATTTGTGTACTATGTCAGCTGTTACTAGCAGATAAACTAAAGCTTCTAAGTGCTCTTCAAACTCAGAGTAGTTTATCTTTGGTGACAATCTTTAAACACCTGTGTAGGTGTAATGGGATTTCCTGCTACATACTCACACATCTCCTGTGAGAAACAGCATTATGCATATATCAATCACAAAGTGATTTGCCAAGATTTGTCCCATTTGATCCCATTTGAGTTTTGTGGTCATTCTGTAGAGTAGGTTTCATTACTTGATAAAAAGATGATCACACCAGGGTACAGAAGGAATGGAATAACTTGCCTACATTACCCCTCTGGTTGTGTGAGGTCAGAATTGAAACTCTCCTCTGCTGACTCTACTTTCCATGTTCTTACTATCCATGGCAACCCATATGTAATGGAATATGGGAGCTACCATACCCTCCCTCTAGTGAAAAAGCTATAGGTGAGAAGAAAGGAGGTGAATTTGGATCTAAAGAGTTTCAAATTAATACATGTTAATTCCAAGAAGGATCAGGGTAGCAATCTCAGAGCATGCCACTACATTACTAGTACCACAAGTGACAACATATGGCCACAACACTCTAAAAATATCAAGTCTAAGAGTTCACAGAGAAAATTTTAATTCATTTAAAATTTCAACAATAAGAATCCAATAAATATTGAGTGATAAATGAATTAATTAATTAATTGATGGGTGAGTTAAAATGTTCACTTTTTTCTTTATATTTTTAAACATGATTTTTCCAAAACTAGCATACGCTTAATATACTTGGCAAATGGGTGAAACTATGGTTATGAAACAAAAACTCTCCTAGAGAGTTAGTTCTCTTTAAGAGTACAACCCTTGATAAGTAGACCACACTTCAATGGAAGGCTATGTAACCACAAATGTAGAGGAAGAATAATTTAGATTTGATGGATATAAAAAATGAAAAATACTGTGTTTTTGGAAAGAAGACACAAAGCAGATCTGGGAGAAGTTAGGGGAGGGGTGAATATGATCAAAACACCCCATACAGAATACTTCAAGATTTAAAAATAAGATCTCTCACAAACTCCCTTCAGAGTGACCTAATTTGAGATGGCCAGTTTAACAGTATAATGAAAATTTCAAACACATGCAAATTGTATACTTAGATACAACTGGGTGTTGACATTGACTTTTCAAAATATGTTCATAGTCTATACATTTCTCTGTAATTTGGTTTTCTCTTGATTTTTTAAACAAAAATGGGTGCTGGTGGCACACACTTTTAATCCCAGTACTTAGAAGGCCAAGGCAGATGAATTTCTCTGAGTTGGAGACCAGCCTAGTCTACATAGTGAGTTCCAGGACAGCCAGTGCTGCACAGGGAAATCCTGTCTCAAAAAATGAAATTAAATATATAATCTTATTAGATAGATAGATAGATAGATAGATAGATAGATAGATAGATAGATAGATAGATAGATTTCCCCATATATTTATATACATAACAAATAGAGATGGGTTGCTTTGGTTTTATATTTTGTCTAATTGAAGTTATTTGTCACTTTTGACAAAGTAAAGGAGACTTCAAGCTGCCATGTGTTTTTCTTTGGCTCTTCTGTTCTTTGGCACATATTTTTAAATGATTAAGCATTTCCTATTTATTTTGCAATATCAGGTTTGCTGACATAGCTTGTTATATCTTTAGCCAGGAAACAAAACATTTGGAAACTGAAAATGTACATCATGCAGACAGGTGCGGAGATGTCTGAGCTCTGTGTTCTTAATTAAAATGAGGACTATGGCAAAGATAATCATCAGGGCTCTGTGAAGTATTTTGTAAATATAGACACCTTTAAGCACCAAAAAATGATCTGTTTGCTCTTAGGCTGCCACTAATATTGAAGCTGATTTTAATTTGAAATGTCATTTTATCATACTAGGATTCACAATAAATTAACATTTGTTAAAGTCTCTTTATAATCCTGGCCACTTGTTAGCTGTTCAACATACTCTGCTCATTTAATCTTTCCAAAAACGGAGAGATAGACCTTCATCAATATTTAGAGATGGAGAAAATTAAACCTCATTCTAAGAGTTTATGGCTGCATAGCTTTTGAATAGAAAAAACCTTGTTCTCTGGCAGATTTAGAATCTAAACTAAAAAGCATTTATATTTTCTCTTAAGTATCAAAGTGAACATAAACTTAAGTAAACTCTTCTCATCAGAGAAATACATGGCTGGAAAGGCTCTATGGGTTCTTTTGGGCTATAATATCAGCCAGCCCAGGTGAGACCTGTCACTATCTCTGTCTAACTGTGGCCTTGGATTATTGAAGCAAAAAAAAAATACTTAATGCAATACCAATTTCCCTGCTCTAGTAGATTATCCATGAAAGTGACTTTATTGTTTCATAACCTTACTGTTATATATTCTGGTATTAAATTGTCCTTCTTTTGTAAAATAATTATCATAATTAATAGCAGTTATTATGCCCTTGCCTAGACAATAAGGCACTGGCAATTTTGTGTCAGTCCATTTTAAATGCCAGGTTGTTTTGAATAAAAATTTCAATGTTTATTTTTACTTATATGAGTGTGTCTGTGTGTGTGTGTGTGTGTGTGTGTGTGTGTGTGTGTGTGTGTGTGTGTGTGTGTGTGCCACATGTGTGTATGTGCCTTTTGAGATAAGTGAAGGGTATAGAATCCCCTGGAACTGGAGTTAGTTACAGGAGGTAGTGAAGCTACATGATATGGATGCTGAGAAGTGAACTCAGCTACAAATGTTCTTAACTGCTAAGCCATCTCTCCAGTCCTATATCAAAGTCCAGAGACAAGCAGGATCCAACCACTACTGTGTTAAGGAGCATTATCCTAGATCCCTAATACCATAGGAGGCACTTAAACATTTATAGGTGATTTTAAGGTTTATATAGATATCACAAGAACCATAGTATCAAATGAATTTAAGAGGTAACTTGTAGTGATATATTATTTATGATTTATTAAAGCTTGCCTGAGGAGTCAGAAAGCAAAGTCAGCCACAAGACAAAGAAGCCAGGAACACACCTTTAATCCCAGCAGCCAGAAGCTAGGAGGTGGTGGTACACACCTTTAATCCTCGGGCTCAGGATTAAGAGGTAGACAGACCTCTCTGAGCTCAAGGCAACTCAGGGATACATGAGATTGACTCAGTCTAAAAGAGTAACAGATCATAGGCCTTTAATCCCAGCACTAGAGGGGTATAAAAAATAGAAACAGGGTCTTCAGTATTAAATAGGAGGCATTCATTCTCCAGCCACATTGAGGAGAAGCTGCAGTTTGAGGCTTGGTGAAGAGCTTGTGGATCAGCCCTTTCAGTCTGAGATAGAGGTGAGAGCTAGTGGCCAGCTCCTTTGCTTTTCTGAACTTCAGCTTGAAGTTTGAACCCCACTATCAGTCTCTGGGTCTTTTATTTTTTCTGTTACAGTGACATGGATTCTGAACTTGAGAATATGTAGGTATTGATTAGAATTAAGATATCAGAAAGAACATTTATAGTAGGGAGATAGCTTGTAAATATTTAAATAGAAATATAAACTATGTAAGCATGTGGGGGTGTGGGGGTGTGGGGGTGTATGATTTCTGTGTGATAGTCTTAATGCTTAAAAATAATAAAAACTAAAAGAAATTAAGAAAATTCCTCATGTCATAGAGCAAGAATCAAAGAAAAAGTCCTAATCAACCAATCGTTAAAGGTATCCTCCCCACATCCACACCAGTTATTCACAGGATGATTTTATGGCTTGTAGTCCTGGCCCTGCCATTCAGTACCTACATGACCATGCAAGTCACTTTAATCTCTGTAGGTCCTGAATTCCTTGACTGTAGATTTGGAGTAAAAGATCTTACTATGCCTTCAAGGAACTATAAGTTTTTAATGTAATAATAAATTATGAATATTACATTCATTTTAGGTTATATAGGTTTGATACTATCTTTGAGTTATGTATTATGTTTGAGGACTTCATTATATCTATCTAAGTAGTAAGTCAAGAATTCAATAATGATGAGAATTTAGCAAGCAGGGAAGCAATTCTATAGATACAAAATTCTTCGACAACCTCTGAAACCACACCAAGCAGGAAACAACTGATTATAAATGCCTATATTTTTTCAGTCTGTTGTAAGTATTATGCTTTTCCTCCAATTTATAGTACCTCTGTTATGGATAGATAGAAAACATTCTTAAGCAATTTTTACTAGAACAATGTCCTCCAATTTATAGTACCTCTGTTACAGATAGATAGAAAACATTCTTAAGCAATTTGTACTAAAACAATGCTACCTAACTTAGTTTATCTTTCTCATTACATTTGTAAATGTTTTCCCACCAATTTATAGACAGGGAACCTAAATAAAACAGTCTCGGGTAAAAATGTCTTGGTAGAGAGCGTCTGAGACCCAATAGAGTAGATTCAGTGTGATGAAGAAATCTGCTTTTAGCCTGATAGGATAGCTTGCTGTTGTAATCTAAGTACCTGTGCAGATAAGGAAAGAGGGTTGTCATGAGTCTGAAGCCAGAATGGGCTACAGTGTGAGACCTTTTCTCAAAAAAATAAAAAAGGGAAAAATTTTAAAATAATGGTGCTCCTGTGGTTTTTGACTGGGAGTTAACAAACTGTCAGATTGGAAGAGCCATATATACATGCAGATCTGCTCCTGCATGGTGGAATGGGAACACAGACCTTGAATGAGTGATTTGTTGGCTTCCTCTGGTCATCTGCTTGTAAGCAATAGAGCCAGATTTAGGGATGATGTAGAATATGCAACACAGTATTCATTCTGTTTCTCTATTTTGGTTTTTTATTTGTTTGTTTGTTTGTTTGTTTTTTGAGGCAGAGTTTCTCTGTGGCTTTGGAGGCTGTCCTGGAACTAGCTCTTGTAGACCAGGCTGGTCTCGACCTCACTGAGATCTGCCTGCCTCTGCTG